GTTTTTAGTTTTACAGGATGAGCTCGCTGGTCGTTTTTATGCTCTATATTGGCAGATGAGCATTGTTCCTGCTGACCTCCCCCACACACACCTCTCTAAAATGATTTGTATGGAAACTGAGATGTTCCAGATGAGAGCTGCTGGGGTGTCTGAGATCTCAGACTCTTTTATTACTTTTTTCAGTTGCTCCTATTGAGACAACTAAAAATCCATAGGAGGGGGTGAGAGAAGCAGAATCCCACTTGCTTCACAAAATCATAGACCCTACCTCATTTATACTGAGCACAAGTGTGCCTGTCTGTTACTAGCATAGCTGCTGGATATGAAGATACTGTCCAGTTCTAATAATGAGCAGTTCCATACGAGAAATGTATAGTAAAAAAATCTTTGTCCATTTTAAATAGGTAGAAATGTGTAGTTGTGGTATGCATGTTATTTATAAAATGTGTTGTTGCAGTATACATACAGTATATAAACTGCATTTTGATGTTTCAGCTAGGAAGTGCCTTGCTTTTGATAGAGTGGGCTTTGGCATCACCTTTTGTCTATTTACTTTCCATTGACATTAATATGTGTTTAGGGCTGCAACAACTAATCGACATAATCGATTATAATCGATTATTGAAAAAGTTGTCAACTTTTTCAATAATCGATTAATCGGCTTCCGATCAGTTGGCCCTGTTCACGGGTCCACAAACGCGCACCGCACCTCCTCCCCAACTCACGCTCACCGCTGCCAGACCCGCCCGCATCCGCGGTCTACACGCCGCACCTCCTTCCCGCCTCACACTCTCCGCCCGCCCACATCCACGATTGGCACAGGGATTACATTATACAGCGCAATGCAGAATACCACCAGCTATAGAGGAGCACAGCAAATCCCAGCAATAGTACATTATACAGTGGTGCAATGCCGAATACCACCAGCTATAGAGGACTACAAATCCCAGCAATAGTACATTATACAGCGCAATGCAGAATACCACCAGCTATAATGTACTATTGCTGGGATTTGTTGTAGTCCTCTATAGCTGGTGATATTCTGCATTGCGCTGTATAATGTACTATTGCTGGGATTTGTAGTCCTCTATAGCCGATGCCATTCTGCATTAATTGCTGTATAATTTTACACTTTCCATTTCACTATATTGCACACCACACCATTTTTTTACTTCCACCGCTCCAAGCTTGCTCCTGTGATCCATTTTTAAAAATGTATGTTATTGTTTATCCGATTAACCGATTAATCGAACGTAATAATCGGCTAACTAATCGATTTTGAAAATAATCGTTAGCTGCAGCTCTATATGTGTTTTAAATGAGGATTGTTTGACACAAACTAGTCAAGCAGAAAGGTAGATTCCATGCAGGGACTATTGGATTTAAAATATTTAAGTACTGCCCTATATCAGCCCTAATATAACTTTGTAGCATATCTGCCCTTTATATTAGGATATAATGATCATGTAAGTCTCCTACCCGGTGTGCTTCTCTGTCGAGCAGAGATTATTTGACAGCCTGTGAGTTTTGTGTTGGGATGCTGAGCGAAAAGGCACATCAGACCTTTGCTCCCTAGTGATTTTATATTTAGTGCAACTGGTATTAGTGTTAAGAAGTCTGTATAGCGACCAAGTTTCAAGCAATGGCCCATGCTTAAAGATTAGGGAGCTGAGAAACCATAGGGATATTTTTACCAGTTACTTGTAGGGTGGAATGCACACCCTACAGGGTGTTTTCAGTAAGGCAATGTAAAGTACTGTTACTGTGTGTGCAAATTACCTTAACCCTAAACAACCTGTTAAATATTGATTAGTAGTCAAGAATTTAATGGGGTTCTATGGGTACTTGTTTTTGCATTCAGTATAGCCATGGTACTTTGCACTGCATTAGCTGGTTTAGCCCACTGAAAGTTGTATTACTACATAGTCTAGATGTCTGAAGCAAAGTGCAGAGAAATGCTGGATGAAAATGTGGCATGAAAAAGATGTGCACTTGTCATTTTGCTAGATACTCTTCTGGGCTGAGAGACCCCCTTACAAAACAGTTAAGAGTCTATCGTGGGACCAGGGGTCCCCTCTTACCTGGGGTACGGCGGGTGCGACGGAGATCGTAGGGTCCTTCTTGGGGTGAATTGGTGCCTGGCAGCGTGCGGCATGTGTGCACATGAGCGCATGCATGACATGCGTGCGTAACGTGCGCATGTGGCAATGCCGTGGCTTCTTAGTTGCTCCGGGTGCTGGTCATTGCCGGGGAGGACCTTGCAAGCACTCCTTCTCTCCCAGCTGTCCCATTGGTTCGCAGGGACCTGTGGCTTCCTGCTGGGTTTAAATTCCAGCCAGAGCCAAGACTTGTTGCTGAGTTATTCTGCCATTCCCTAAGCAGCTACAACGCCTCATTTCCTGTTTCCTGCCTCCCTTCCCTGCTATTCGGATCTCCTGGGTATTGACCCCTGGCTTGCCTCACCGTTTATGATGCTCGCTGCCTGCCTCGACCCGGACTGTACTCTGACAACGCATTTTGGATTATCCTTTCTTGTACCTCAGCCTGGACTCTCCTTCTGGGATTGTTCCCTGCTATTGGGTTCCAATCCAGCAAACAGGGGGACTTCGCTCCTTCCCTAACAGAGTCCCAGTGCAAACCAACAATGCAGCCTTTATTTGTCATGGTGTCATGGATTTCTTTCGTAGGCCATGCACCAGGCAGGGCTCCATTCAATAGCTTGGGTAGATGCATACTTAGTTTGGTGCACAGCCATGTAATACAGCAGAATTGTTAACTTCATGTGCCCCCAACACCTCAGAAGGGTCAGACATAATTTTAGTTGGGTCTGGTGAACAGAAATGTCCACTTTGATTACCTCAAAGCTCAAGGAACTCAGAGATCTCTTTACCATAGTCCCTGAGACTCGCAAGAAACCCTAAAATGGTTTAACTCTGCAATATCTATAAGAAGCGTACATATTTATTAGTGTACTGAACTGTAAGGGCAGTTCAGGAGGACTGACAGGATATCATTGTGATACAGTTTCATCACATGAGTGGCATGGGTGGCATGGGAAGTCTACTTCATAAAGTTATAGACCGTGACAATAACATGTATTATAACAACACATTTCTCTAATGTTAAACTCTTTATTTAGCTACCGTTTATGGGTGTGTTGCATATCTGCATTTACTATGGGCTATACCTGCCTAATAATAACTGTTCTAAAGAGTGATGAGGCATGGGGATGGTTTTGTACCTGTAAGCACCTTTGTTGGTCTTTAGTTTGGATCCTTTGGTGCCCCCTTGGATCATAGTCTTTGTAGGGTGTTTAGGCTCAACTTGAGCAGAAGCTGAGGCTCCGTGTGCAACTTGGGCCTAAGATCAAAGGCCTCCACAGAGACACGGGTATTGAATTAAAGACGAACACAGATACTTACATAGTTACATAGTTAGTCAGGTTGAAAAAAGACACAAGTCCATCGAGTCCAACCTACAGAGATACGGAGAAAAAATAAATAAATCACAAATCACTTAAGCAATGTTGTTGAAGAGACAGCATGAAATGAGCATGTTTAAGAATAGCCATGATGCATTACAAGCAGAGGTTTTTCACCAGATGTCAAAAGGAGACCTAAGTAACAGAATGTCCTAAATAAAATACATTACTTCTCTAAATGATGTAACATTCTTCCATTCAACTTCCTAGCTTACAATTGTATCCTCTGACATTATTACCAGCTATAAAACAGAATATGCCCTGAAAAGCCTTCAGTATAACGCACAAGGAACCAGAGAGGTACCATTTTATTAAACATTCTGGATTATTGGTCTTCTGTATATGAGAAGAGCTGCAGAAGTGATAAGTGGCCATTTCCATCTGCCTTTACTTTCAGCTTTCCTCTTTAGTTTTGAATGGCTCTTGTATGAGGATTAAGAGCTACTGGATCCAAGATGAAAGGAATTTTACTTGAAGTTCTTTTTATAAGGACAAATGTGAATCCTGGGACTATTCTACCTCACTTCTCCGTTTTTTTCCACAAATATGTTTTTAAAACATAAAAACTTGAGAACTATCTACCATGTCATCAGTATACAAAGATATGACAAAATAACAGTTGGTTTCTTAAAGTGGACTTCTGTGCTGCTCATGTGACGGGCATAATGCTGGGTCTTTGGGGATGGGTGTTTTGCCGAATAGATGGCTCTCCAATCTGTACTCTGATCGATGTTCCGGTTCTGCAGAGATCAAATGACCAAATGCCAAGGTTATTGATTTGCCCCATAGGAGAATAGTGAAAGGGCATGTTTAAAGTCAACACCTGACCAACTTTTACTTACCTTCAAAGTGCTCCCCCACCGCTCCTTCTGCTGCGGCTGCCATTGCAGGATATCCAGAGCTTCCAGGTATGGAGGAGTACTGTATGTGCATCCCATGATGCAGTTCTTAGGCCTCGTGGCCAGTCACATTACTCAGGGAATAATATCACCGATCGTTCACTGGGTATTTTATGGTTACCAAGAGGGGTGGAAGGAGTGGGGGACACTGTGAATGTGTGTATACTGCGCCTGCGGAGAAAAAAGTGACAATTTACTTTGCCCTGAATGTGAAAAGTGACATGTTGATGACAAGTGAAAGGTTTTAACTCCGGGATCTTAAATAAACCAGTCTTTGTAAACTCCGTGCCTAGTTTATATGAAGTTTAAATTGACTAAAAGTCACTGACTGAGTAAACTAAACAGGAACAGTATGTAACATTCTACATTATATTTCCACACAAAAAAAAATTATATTCTTTATTATTCACACAGTATCAGCAGTGACCCTTGCATTGTGACTTGCTGCCAGGTGCCCTGTAGCCCCAACATGTGACAGTCTTCGGATTGAATACTGAAAAGGTTAATGTTATCGCTTATGGTTTACTTGTTTCTCCTGAGTGGAACATGAAGAAGGGTGATATGTTCCCTCCATAAGACGAGTGGAAAAATAACTTTGTCATATGTCTGTCTTGTTTCAGGTTTCCCCAAATGACTTTCCTGGCAGTCATTTAAAAACCTGCAAGTGGAGTTCCTTGGGAGACTGATTCTGACTGCTTTGGAGGTGCAGAGATTTCTTCAAGATGCTGATTAAGGAATATCGCATCCCACTTCCCATGACAGTAGAGGAATACCGGATTGCACAGCTTTACATGATCCAGGTATTGGCTTTATATTTCTTTTTAAGTGGAATGCTCATCTACTCTAAGGGGACATGTTGTTGTTCTGTAATATGGCTGCCTCCATTGTGTAAGAGCACTCATAATGTTTTTGTTTTCAAAGTGGTACAGTAAAAATGCAGTAAAAAACATTTGGTAGGATTCTGTCCCCCACTGCAGGATCTCAAAGCTGCAGTTAGTTTTTTAAAAAAAATGCTCCTTTTACCTGTCTGCTAGCATTTTTTTTAGATTTTACACTTCCTGCAAATCATGGACAGTTTACCCTCTCGGCTTCTGTAGGATGCTGAATGTAGGAACTGCATTCAGGAGTAATGTAATTTCAACTCACATATGCTGGAGTCAGATCATCAGTGGCTACACAATGAAGAAGAGGGAAGATGTGAGAAGTGGAAAAAATGGCCATGGCACGGCAGGGAAGAGTACAGAGCTGGAGAAGGGCAAACTGAGAGTCATGTTTGTGCATACTCCTATCAACCAGTGTAACGTATCATCAAAATTAATTATACACAGCTTAGCCATCTGTTAAAAACATCTATGTGACTCCTAAGATGCTCACTACTGAGTATATGTGGGCAAAACCGCTCTCAGATGCAGTAGTCAGATCATAATTGGGGTAGGACCTTTTTGTATGCCTTGTGAAGTAAGTACAATGTGTAAAGCAATACCTTTTTTTATGCTGTGATTTAAAGAGCCTGGTGCTCTTTACTACCTGCTGTACTACCCTCCTCAGTCTCACAGGATTTCTGAAGCAGTTGGGGCTCAGTGAAAACAGAAGTGAGCCTTCTATGGATAATTACATATGGCAGGAGACGATTACTCCGTGAACTCAGGGAATATGTGGACCAGAAAATGGCATTAGCAATGCTGGTATTTAATGATATAAAGCTGAAATGAAATATTTATGCAGCGAATCACAATGCGAAGTTCCTTGTAAATATTTTGAAGTTGGATCCAGTATTAATTAGGTATCAGTTTGTATCTGATTAAATGAATAAGGCTGTTTGAGTCTTATGCTTCACAGAAGCTTGTCTTTTTCAGTAAAGTTGGAGTCACTCACTGTAAGCTTGTGTCACCCACTGTGTATTAAACTGTAGCTGTAACAATTCATTGATGATAGCGAACATAGAATACTGTACATAATCTCACAACACTAATTAGATTAAAATCATCTTTTATCATGCATGAAGGATGCACATTACAGTGAAAAGGGCAAGAGTGGGTCTCAGCTGCGGGCTCCATGGTTACGGGTGACATCAGTCTGTGCAGCGCAAGCTGATGTGCAGGGAGTATGGCAAGTATTGTCCTAGGCTTAACCCAGTGGGTTGCTGATATAGCTATGTTTCCAAGGTAACAGATGCAGAACACTGGTCCTGAAGTAAGAGTGAAGCTTGTGACTGTGGAGGTAGTGAGGAGGGGTATGGAAAGAGTTAGCCATGGCACACATAGTGGGAGTCATAATCTTTCCCTGAAATAGATCTGGAGGCAGTAAAGGAGGGGACTTTTGTGTACACTTGTTGGATCTGACAGCTCTTTAAAGGAATTATTGTGCATGTACAGTGCCTAGGTTTGCTTAGTTGAATCTGTAATTGGTACATTCCCAAGTGGTAGTCATGCTAAATAGGAACTATAGGCTGCTGTAACCTTTGTAGCTGGCTCTTAAGGTGCCCATACAAGAGCAAATCATCTCTATGTTAGATGTCAAGCGCTGGGTTGGAAGGAGCAGTCGTTTAAGGGCTGCCTCAGCAGGTTTATGTGGCTCTCAGATTATGGTTCCCATTGTCTCCTTAACAATATACCATCTGTCGGCTTTGGTCATTACTCTCCATAGCCTACATTTTTGTAGATGGGGTTTTCTAGAATCAAGAAGAGGACTGTGATGTCTGATTGTTTATTTTTAGAAAACAGTGTTTGGATATTGGATATCTGTTATACAGTCCTATCATGTTCTCCAAACTGTAGACAAATCCATCAAACACCTGACCATGAATGCCACAGATAGGGAGTGCATGGCTACCTGTGATACTGAACTATAGCTCATAAAATAAGCCAGCACCCCAAAATGAGCCTCAACAAAGCACGTGGCAAGAAATAGTGCCAAAACATGTTCCTCTTAGGTGGAGGAACATGTTTCTCTTCCATTCATTGAAGGACAAGGCAGTCCAAAATCCTTTTTTTTAGGGAATATTTCTCTGTCACTTGTTTTGTTGAGCCATCAATAAACAACAGAGGCTCAAACAAGGAGTGCTGGCAGTTTCTGTTTTATACTCTACAAGAACCAGGCATGGACCTCTAACAGACTCTCATGATTATTATACACACTGGAACATCAAGTTTAACAAGAATGTAGGACAATCAGTCTTGCATGAGGGGGTTTGCTATGTTTTCCTGTCATGTTTTTATAAATCCGCTATACATCTTAACAGTGACTGTATTACAATGATAAGAGTATCTTTAAATCCTATCTACAGGGCTGCCCCGGCACTGCAAGGGTTAAATGCTCATTAAGGTCTAGGGTACTTGGGCAGTTTTACTTATTCCTGTTCCCTTGGCAGTCAGTGTCTCCCCTATGCTTCGGCTGGTGGACTGCCCCTCCGAATCCTGACAGCTATAGGCCCTGCATTGTAGTTGATGATATCAGTGGGCCTCTGACTGCTCACTCATAGGGCTGCTCTTGCTGGTGTTGCCAGCTCGCGGGAGCAGAAATCAGGTAAATAAAAGTCCTTTACCCAGGTACCATAGACCTGAACAAGCATATAACCTTTGCAGTGGCAGCCCCACTGCAATGAGAGATTGTTTTTTTCCCCTCAGGAATACGCCTTAAGTAAACCTGTCATGAGTGTTGCTGTGTTGGGCTTCAGGACTTTTCTATCACTTAAGCTGGCCATACACCTTACAATATATCTGCAGATTTTCTGTGGTCAGATGGAAAAGGTGCAACAGATTCCTCCATCTACACTTAACTGTGTGGATGGAGTAATCTCCACCTGGGCCAATCTGTTGCACTTTTTCCATCTGACCACAGAAATCTGCAGATAAATTGTAAGGTGTATGGGCACCTTTACTTGGTACAAGCTTGATTAAAACATGTCAGAAATGTTTTTACCTCTATTCTTGCTCTGGGTCAATGACTTGGCATGAGAGCCTAGCAACTAGCATTCTGAAAGGAAGAGGTCAGCATTGACAACCTCCATAATTTTGTTATGGGAGGTGCACGTTAAAAAAGTTGCATTCCAGACAGATGTAAAATTGTTGTTTTTAAAGCCCAACTCTACCTTTCTAAAACAGCATGCGTAAAATGAGAAAAGCAATCTGCATTGCTCTCCACTTCCCAAGCACTGTCCCTCCTTTTTGTAACTGCTTTCTGTATCCCTACTGTCCCTAATTGCTCATCACTGTCACGGTGACCGGAAGTCATGGGACATCTTTGCACTGTGTACACAGCAATAACACACATAGAATAGGTAGCTAAGTTGTAGATAGACTTCTAGATTTCTAAAGATACCATACCTATTCTAAGGACTGAAAAAACTATATTCACTAGTTGACTATGGAAACTTCTCTAATATTGTGAAAGGAATGGAGGTCTCTTCTTCCCTTTTTTAAACTACATTATGCATCTAACCAGTAACTGGGACCGTTCATAATGTATGAAAATTAGAAGAACTTCATTGTATAAAGCTAGCCATACACCTTACAACCATCGCACGACGTTCGTTGTGCGATGGTTGTAAGGTCATTAAAATTTCATACGTCCTGCCCATCATGGACAGGCAGATGGTATTTGCGATCATTGCAAGCCCTTCCCGCTGAGGGGAGGGCTTGCTGATGATTGCAATGCTGAGTGGGCAGTGTGCGTTTGCGCACACCGGCCCGTGCGGCTTTTGTCTTCTGAGCACGCTACCAACCTGACGTAAATCGTACAATTTTTCGGCAGGTTTTCCAGCGTGCTAGGAAGACGAAAGTTCCAATGTACAGTAGATGTGGTCGCACGCTGCCCATACACCTGCCGATTATCGTACGATCGCGGGATCACCCGTGATCATCGTACGATAATCGGCAGGTGTATGCGCACCTTAAGAGAAACACGAAGTTTCAAATAAAATTATGTAAGTGGTTTTAGCTTGTTCTAAAGGCAGTACATTATATGTAAAGATTTAGAAAAATGCAGAACCCTGCTTATCATTTTTAAATGTTTTAAGGTAGAGGCCCAAATGCGTTGCTTAATATTAAATAAAGCTTTGAGCAATTTGGATGAATGGTATTGACAATTTGTTGTTTTTGGAAGATTAAAAAAAAGGTTTTAATGATTTCTTACTTTCATAGGTTTGTGTATGCTGGGTCTTCCTATGTTTTGATATAAAAATAATTAAAAGAGGGGGTATATTAACCCCTTACCAGCAGCTCTTGCTGAAGGCGTTTCCTTGGTCTCCTGATAATTGTGATTGCCTGTCTCAGTGATCATGTGATTTGGAGCCCCTCCGACTGGCTCCTGATAATTGCGAAGTGACTGGGAGCTGCCAGTAAAAGCACGTTCAACAGTGCTGGGGCCAAACAATTTAGCACAGCTCCCTGCACAAAGCAGCAATTCTGACTGTATGCATATATGTAGTAGCACCACATTAACGACCATGGCTGTCAGCAGTTTTTTCAGCACTGATCGACGGAAACTTTTTCAGTGTTCGTGATTGGTAAAGGCTAAAGTTACCTTTCTAACCATCTATCTACTTTTAAAGTGCTTCTTGAAAAGTCAAAGTGACATTTTATTCATATCTATCTATTGCAGTGGATCTGTGCTGCGTTGAGCATCGCCAAAATCTGGTGATCCCCAATCCATTGCAGAAAAATTTAGCATGCCTGCCTTTATCTGCAACACACTGCAACCAACCTGAAAGCAGCATTTCAGTTTGAACAGGACATATAGAAAACAATTGTGCCCTTGAGATGACTAGCGTTGATTTGGTGCAGAAAAATGCCAGTCACTG